CGTCCCTTTTTTCGCCACTCGCATGCATAGTAATAACACGTAAATCCTCCAAGGTCCGATTTCAGGGCAAATACACCGCCCTCTTGTTGCTAGTTGCATGGAAGGCATTTAGGCAGGCCACGGCTCCGTGGTAATTTAGTAGTTGCATCATTTTGTTCCTTAGAGCCATCTCGAGCTCATCACGCGATGTTTCTGGAGTTGTTCTACCACAAAACATCAAAATATGTTAGTACGCTATTCCAGTGTCGAATAACGCATAACTACCAAGACCAAGTTATGCATTACAGTAGTACATTTGGCGTCATTTGTTGACTTTTTTACATATCGCTCACTGTACTGATGTTCAATTTCACTCTTGTCCTGGCGAACTGCTGCAGCAGTAAGGCTCACTCATCTCACAGTATTGCAGCACAGCTGTATATCTCCCACGCTCTGGCATATACTCCTTGTTGTTGACAAGTGAACGACTAGCTGTACGTTCTCTTCTTGTGGCGCCCAAGCACAGTGCGATGAATTGTTTTCTCAAGAGAATCAGCATTTAGCAAAGGAAATTTTGCGCGTTAATGGGATTTAAACCCTGTGCTTGTAAAGTTCGGTAAAAATTACTTACCAGTCTGCCCGATTCCATCCTTTAGCATATGTAGGGTTGTACTTTTATCTGTCAGCGATGTTCCCTATAGAGTTTCTTAGCAGCATTGTGCTTACAAACTCATATAGCCAAAAATGGCTGTCGCTGTTTTTGGAGCCGTGAAAATGCCGCTAGACAAAACCGCTGATTTTCAGAGAATGGCACCCATTCGTTGTTTTTATAAGGCAGGTCTGTCTGGTAGATGGATGCTTACCCGGACAAAAGCACTTGGGCAATTGTCTGTAATTGTTCTTGTGATGTCTATCTACTGAATACAAGACGATATCGTTGGATTACAGAATTTCACATTGTCAGTCAGTCAGTTTTGATGACTGTTTACGTCTTCGGGTCGCCGAGGCATACTTTTGAAACTTGCTCGTCAGAGCATGTCTCCTTCAACGTTTTACATCCTGTACCTGTGTTTGAGCTTCGCAGAACCGTTTGCCCAGCGATTCTCCTTTCAGAAAGACTGTTTCAGCCACTTGTTTTGGAATCACAGATTTTCAGTCATTACTAACGATTTTTAACCGTCAAGTCGAAGATAGACAGACATCCTCGTACTTAGTTCTGCCTTCCTCACAACGTCTACGACTGGTTCACTCAGAACGCCACTGACCTTCTGAATTTTCCAGTCGACCTCTTCCTGTTGTTTTTTCTCAACAGGAAACATCGCGACCCATAGTATGAAATATTTGCGATCTCCGATATCGTGGGAAACACGTGTCTTAACTGACATGTATTTAGCTTTTGTGAATCACTTTTCGCACCCCGGTATTGAAGTTGTCGGTGATCATTTAGTGTATAAATCCATGTCAAACGCTTAATCCTTTTCATTTAATATGCTGCATAACCGGAAATCGCTGACATTTACAACTGGTTGAAAGAATTGTGTCCTTACGTTGAAAATGCTGTCGCCAACCTTCAACATCGTGCTTGCTTATGTTTCTTAATCATGTGATTGAAAAGTTATATTTAACTGTTACTGTTGCTTGATTGCTCATAAATTTAAGCCAAGAATAGATTTTTTATTAGCTTCTGGCGAACTTTGCATCGCGTGTCATGATACCTGTTTAATGTTCACGCTGTTGCAGGGCTTGACATTTTATGGAGACGTAAATGGGCTTGGTCGCGACCAAGTGACTGGCGAACGTATGGCTTCCTCTTTCCCTACGAACATCAAGAGTCCGTACGTTCATGGCAGCCTGCACTGTACGGTCGCCAGCGTTCACGACCGCATTGACCGTGGTGCGAGGAATGTGACCCGCAAGATCGAAAACCAGCAGCCAAGCCCTCGAGCCTCAGAGGTAGGTTTGCCTCGAAGCTGTCGTGCGGTGACGCCTAACTTTGCCTAATTTTCAGGAACGGTTTCAGGAAAGTATGCAGCCGACAAGCTTTCCGATTCCGAATGTCTCGCCCGCGGACCAAACTGCACCTTGGTACCACGGAAATATCAGCCGCAAAGAGGCTGAAATTCGACTTTTGCACAAGATAGATGGATCGTTCTTAATTCGCGAGTCAACTCATTATCCCGGTGACTTCACGCTATGTGTCTCCTACCAAGGTCATGCGGAGCATTATAGGTAATTTTCGGATGAGGGGAAATTTAAATTAAATTTCAAACTATGTGGAATGTAAAGCATTTCTTTTTCATGCATTATGTTTGCAGTTTTGGTCTTTCTTTAAGCTTTATGATTCTTCTAAAGGTTAACATAAACATCATTGTCGATGGGAGAGGCGATGTCTTTCTAAGGAAGTGTGATCGCTTTTTCTGTCAAAGGCAGGCTCCAATTCTGAACGATAATGACATGATTGTGCAAATTTTGATTTGATAAGTTCTACATATTTTTAAAAAAATTTCTTGCCAAGCTCTGTGTAAAAGTTTATTTTGGCAAGAATGTGTAACCTGTCTAGACATAAAAATCATTTTTACAACATTTTTATTCCATCAAATTTTTTAAACTACGTTTGCTTAGCCTAGGTTTGCGCTTGCCTCTTCCTAGCACAATCGCAAAATTGTATATACATACGCAACGCAATACAGTGTTCTATCCAGTAATGGACCGATTCTGCCGCAGTGAACTGTATATCACGGTTTTTTGTTTTTGGTTGGTTGTAATCACGGATATGGCTGTTCGCAGCAGCTGATAGCGTAGATCTGAGAGCGGAGTTCTCGATCCTTGCTAATGTTTTTGTAGTCTTTTGGTGACTGTAGCGACAAGGCTCATTAACGACTTAACGACCGTTGGCGTGCATGTACAGCCAGTTTCCCTCTTCGATAGTCACGGTACACTCTACTCCTCAGTGGAGATGTGTTTCCTGTATTGTTTGCTGTACGATTCAGGAGGCCCTCGCATTCGATCTTTACATGTGAGGCTTTTTTTCGGAATGCTCGTCGATTGTTTCCAGCTTGGCAGTTATGTCTTTCACCTCTGAGTGATGGTGTTTGCTGTTTGAGAGGAATTTTCTCTATTGCACTGGTGAAAGCAGCGATATGGTCTTTCGGGCGGTTTTTAAATCATCTATTTATTCATATTGATCTAGTGGACACTACAGTTTCGAAATTTATGCGGTATGCAGACCAGTTCTTCAAAAAGTCGTTTGTCTTTGTTTGTTCTCAGAATATATGTGGACGAAAATGTTAAAAATCGTCGGTTGTCGAAGTATTGTGCGTTGATAATTCTGATTAGAATTTACCTCAACCTCATTTTTCATCAGTCGAACTATGCATGAAAATGACGTTTTTAAAAACTGACTTGAATTCCACTTTAAGTGTCGAAATAACAGTGCCTACTACACTGGTATGACTAAACGACTGATTCAGAAGCCTCCTGAAAGAGCAATTTGCGACTTTTGTTAGCGGACGAGATGATCACTCTGTGATGGTAAAGTGTGCCGCCAAAAGAGCTTTATACCATCTACAGCCAACAAATCAAAATTTTAAAATTAGTCGCTACTGTAGCCGTTTCGTAAATTTCTCTTCAACCCTTGTTTTTCATTTTCTGTTTACTGTCGTATCCGTAATTTGTTCCTTTCACCGCTATTTTAATGTTCAGTGTTACAACTTGCACATACTGTTTCCTTTATTATCCATACTGATTATAATTGGAACGCCAATGAAGAAACACCGTTCCGTGCTTAATGAGTATGTTATTTTTGGACTTATTTCCATTTATTATATCATTTGTAATATGTTCATATACATAAATTCCATATGTAGAACCATGTTGCCCTATAGGATATTTCATTTTCGTTCTGAGACATTCATCACTCTTTCTTGGATTTTTCCATCACCCAAGAATCGTTGACCTCTCTGATCTGAGGTTACATCGCACTGCTCGAAAAATTTTCAGTTGCTGCGTCCATGGAATAGCGCAGACAGTTACTTCCCAATCCTTTCTCTCGTGCTTGTGGTTCGAGTCTCTCGTTATAAGCTCTATAAGTTCTTTGGAACTTTACTACGTTAGCCGACCTCTCTGTCTGAAAGGAGATATCGGGGTTGAATTTTGGGCATGAAATTTACCACTAAAAGTCCCTGAAACAATTCTTTAACGAAACCAGAATGGCTTCGAGATGACGTCTGTCCTGAAAAATAGTTTTGAGAAACCACTTGCTTCGTTTAGCAGTCCGTCTTAAGCGGAACTCGAAATTTATGAATATTTTTCGTTTCGAGACAAAATGGCTTACGCGCTATACTGGTCATCAGGCATTGTAGACATTTTTAAAAAGCAAGGTAATGGCGTTTCTCCCTAATATCAAAACCCTAGTGATTGGTTAAAGATTATAAGATGCATGAAATCAGATATGTATGTGGCTTGCAGTTAGTGAGGCGTAAGAGACCTACAGCCGATCGGTTAGAAACTTTTCATTTCCCCCCCCCC